TGCCCCAGGAGGAAGGGGCGCCTGCCTCTTCCAGGGACTCTCCATGTGCTGCCCCACCGCCTCCCTCCCTTCTTTTCCCCACCTGGGGGGTCACCCCCCCTTCCCACCACCCCACCCCCGCAAGTAGGGCTCTCCGGACCACGGAACGCCCGAGAAGGGGATCCGGCGGGAAAGAAACGACGGCGCACCTTACCCGAGGCAACGGCTCTCTAGGAAGGAAGGCTCTATCGTTTTAACGCTATAGAGGACTTTTTTGTTTTTTAAAGGCACCTAGGAACAAAAAGAAGCTCCCAAGGGCCAGATGGGGGCGCGCTTTATAACCCTGGCCTACCTGGCCGTGTTGTCGCACCTCCTACTTCGAGCAGGTCTTCCGAACAAACAGAATACTCCCATCACACAATGCCTTCCACGGCAAAATATGCGGAGAAACAGCCATTTTGCTGTTACTAATATATTTTTTTAAGAATTTAGTTTCTTTTGTTAAAACCAGGGACACTTTTTTATAGTACTAAAAGTGAAGGGGAGTAGAAAATCCCAGATTTACTGCAAGGGAAAGAGTTGCTCAGATCGTGTAATCCATGGGTACAAAAGGACCCCCTTATCCACGGCATCAAGATCCACTGAGGCACTTCTCTGCTGCCCGAAAATACTAAATAAAAACACCCAGAAATACTATTTATATGTATTTGCCAGAGCTGGCCACTAGAAGGAGCCAGAGATATTTATATATATTTGCCAGAGCTGGCCACTAGAAGGCGCCAGAGACCATGGAATGTAAAGCGTTCCACACTTCCGCGTTTTTCAGCATCCGCGGGGAGGGGCTTGGAACCCATCTCCTGCAGATACCTTATTTTTATTTTCTCTTTTTAAAGTCACTATGGAAAATTTTTAAAAAAGAAACCAGGCCCACTCCTTTGACTCTAAGAAACAAGTTACAGGTGCAATACAGTAGATCAAAATTGGGGAAGGTGTGAGCCTCCAGAATTCACCAGGAATGCATATATTCTCTGCCCAAGGCAACTATGAAAACAACATCAAGAGTGCTAAACATTTTTTTTCCCAGCAGCAAACACTACTGGGCTAGATGACGCGTCAATATGCTGGACTGCATCACACACAGAGATTTTTTTTTGTCTTTCTCACTTTCCATTTTGTCCAATAATAATCATGTGCCGTCAAATGAGTCCTGAGTTATGGCAACCGTTTTCAGCACTTCGTAGGTACAGAGTCCTCGGGAGTGGCTGAGCATTCCCTTCTTCTGAGAGTGCCCTGGGTTTTTGCAGCTTGCCCGAGGCTACACAGGCTGGCTTTTCTCCCAGGAGACACAATGGGGAATCAAACTCTGAACCTAAAATCTATAACCTTAGAGCTGCATTGCTGGAAGGGGCCCCATAGAACATGGAGTCCAGTTCCTGTCAAGGAGGCACAGTGGGGAATTGAACTCACAACCTCTGACTCTGTAGCCAGAGACCTAAGCCACTGAGATATCCAGCCAGCCAATTTTGTCTCTACAACACTCATCATCCCACTGAAGAGTGACTTGTCTCCCTTGATGAACCTTGACCAGTGTGGCCAAACTCAAAGGAGACCCCCCCCCAAATGCACCGCCCCCAGTCCAACTACATCGATTTAAGTGGCATCAGAGAGGTGTTTGTTCAGGATAAGGATGAACATCTGATGGAACCTCAGGAAGGTGGGGGGGAAAAACAATCTGCAAATAGGACAAATCCATGCAATGGGACAGTTTATTGAAAAAAATAAGTCATGATGACAGACCTGGGAGTTTGAGAAAACTGTCTTTGATCCCTGACTCTATTTTAATTTTAATTATGCTGAACACGACAAAAAAACCTAAATTTAACCAAATCTTTACCATGAGATCCCACCCCAATCCATTTCACAACCTTCATTTTAAAAAAATTATCAAGAGATTTCCAGTATGGACACAGGTAACAGATTCAAGACAAAAATCTCACTTGCGTGGATGTAGAAAACACTCAGAACCTGGGACCCTCGTGTAAAGAGCCACTGATTTTAAGCAGGTTACTTTAATTTCCTCAGAAATAACCACGCTGGGATACAGAGCAAGAAAACACATTGCTGATCCTTATTTGGGCATTAATTACATATACATGTAATTAATAAAATACTTCCATGAATCTTAAAAACTCCAGAGAATCGTGCTGCTTGTCCATGGCAGACCGATTCCCTCAGAACATGTAAAAATGCATCTTTTTATCTGATTTCTGCTGTCATCAAAGCATCTTAGATGTTTCTCTGTTTGGACATCTTTGAAAAACCTCCTTTTTTTCTGCCTTGTGGCCCTCCGGCTAGAGCCAACCACAGCCTTCACTGATCTCGCCAACGTGGACACTTCAGTGGATGGTTCTTAAGAGTCACACAGCCAGTCATGTCTCTACGATGTTTGGTTGAGGACAGAAATCCTCAAGCCTTGTGGAGGTAGAGGTAACAAGCAAGAGTCATGTCTAGACAGACTTGTCTTTTTGTTCAGCTATAACCACTGATGCCAGTATTGTAAAGAAAAAAAACACTACAATGCTAAGGTGAGGGGCTGATTGGTTTAATTTTCCTCCATATTTTTTTGGAATAAATAATTTTTTACTGAAAAGACAAGAAGATTTCAGGTAATTAATGGACTTGCTTCAGTCAAAGGGATGTTTCATCCAGAGGACCAAAGAAAGGGTTCATCATTTATTTGGGCATCCAACCTAACCCGTCTGGCCTTGCACTCCATTTGTGGTCAACCTCGGAGGTCCGTTTTGTTTCTCTTTTTGAAATGGCTACGTTTTTACACTCCAGGAGATAACACCCAGGGGCGGATATGGGGCTCGAACCCAGCCTCGGCTGCCCCTTCCCAAATCCTCACTATGGTGCTGGCGCTTTGTGACTATCTAAGTCAACCAAGCAACTGTACAAGATCAGTTACGCAAAGCAGCTGTATTAGAAGTGAAAGCCCAGATGGGTTTTCAAATTTCCAGATGTGGTCATGAGTTCAAAAGAGGGAGAAACCAAGATTTAAATGCAAGGGAATATGCTGTCTACTGGGCAGAGGCCACATCTCATCCTATCTGGAGATTAGAGGTGTGCACTTTAACGCGCTTTGTACAAAGCTGTCAGGGTGGCTAATTGGACAACTCACCCTGCTTTGGAGGGTGCAAGAGTCCTCCTTTCTCTGATGACACTTCAATCCAGATAGGAGCTCAGCTGGCCTTTCCCTGCCTCCTCAGGCAACTGACCCCTCATTAGGTGCCTGGGGAGAATGCTCTTGCACCTCATCAGACTGGTTGGCTGCTGGAGGAGGCGGGGCTGGGCCAGCCAAGCTCCTGCCCAGATTGGATCACCATTGAAGGAGGGTCCCACTGGTGCATGAAGTAAGGTGAGTGGCCCGGCTGGCCAGTGGGGAAGGATGGCCACTTGTGATGCTGCACTCTCAGCTTCATATGGAGTGCTTTGTGCTCATCTCTACTGGAGATGTTTCTTTGCAAATGAATGAGATCCACCTCATCCTACCTAGAAATGTTTCTTCCAGTGAATGAGAATGAGGTGAAAAAACAGGACTGCAGCTAAACAGGAAGAAGACAATCACATCTATAGTAAAACATGGTGTGGGAGTTTCTTTTGATACGAGCTAACTGAGGTTGCCGTGATTTCATGGGGCCTCATCAAGCAATGACAAAGATGGGATTTGACCTTTTCTTGATGATTCTACTTGGCTCCTGTTAAAAAAAAGGTGCTGTTGAACAAGAAAAGGAGAGAAAAGAGGGAAGAATGAAATCTGTGTGGATTTTCAGATGGCGAGCCAGGCGCGGGAGAATGAAAGAAGAAAGCAGTTGGAGCACCTGTCCTTCAAAGAAGAGTTGGAGTTCTTGGTGTTAAGGGAAAAGAAGGGGAAGAGAAGCTGAGAAGAAAGGAAGGACATCAGAAACCACAAACTCAGAAGGTGCAACCACCCACATTTTCTGAAACAGGAAAACATATATCTCTCTGGCTTGCATCAACAGAAAACATTATTTTATTGTCCACCAAGGTATTAAATATCTGTCAACTTCTAGTGAGGAAATATCTGCATCATTTTCAGCTGGAGAGATGCTTAGATGTTATGCAAGGTACAATTCCTGCCTAAAGACCTCTCCGCATCCCACGCGCTTCTCGGCAGTATCTTTCTCTCCATGAACTCTCTGAGGAAAAGGAAAAGTTTACCCTGCAACGGAAGCCCATCCCTCATTCCAAACTCGCAGGCGGCTTCTCCTCTCTGTGGATCCTCATGTGGGAAGCCAGGTTTGTGCTCCGAATGAAGCCCTTCCCGCAGGCAAAACACTTAAATGGTTTCTCGCCGGTGTGGATCTTTTGATGGGAACTGAAATTGCTTCTATCCCGGAAGCTCTTTCCGCACTCCAGGCATTTAAACGGCTTCTCTCCTGTGTGGATCCTCATATGAGTAGCAAGGGTTGTGTTGTGACTGAAGCTCTTTCCACATTCCAGGCATTCAAACGGCTTCTCCCCTGTGTGGAGTCGTTGATGGGAACTAAGGCCGCTTCCATCGCTCAAGCTCTTTCCATGTTCCGGAAATGTGCATGGTTTCTCATGGTGGATTCTCTTGTGGGAAGCAAGGTGTGTGCTCTGATTAAAGCATTTTCCGCATTCCACACAGGTAAATGGTTTCTCTCCGGTGTGGATTCTCACGTGGGAGGTCAGGTTCGCACTCTGCGTGAAGCTTTTCCCACATTCCAGACAGGTAAACGGCTTCTCTCCGGTGTGGATCCGCATGTGGCGGGTAAGGTGCGTGCTGTAACTGAAGCTCTTCCCGCATTCTGAACAGGGAAACGGTTTCTCCTCCGTGTGGATTTTCATATGGCGAACCAGGCTTGGGTTGTGTCCAAACCTCTTCCCACATTTGGAGCATTTAAAGGGTTTCTCCTTCGTGTGGATTCTCTCATGAGAAATAAGGGTCCCTTTATGGCTGAAGCTCTTCCCACATTCCGTGCATTTGAAGGGCTTTTCCCCTGTGTGGATTCTCTTGTGGGAGACAAGGTGTGTATTGCGGTTGAACCTCTTTCCACAGTCAAAGCACTGAAACCGTTTCTCCCCTCTTTGCATTGTCTTACGGGGGAAAAGGTCTGTGCTCTGACTAAAGCTGTTTTCAGGACATCTAACTTGTTTTCCTTCTCTGTGTGTTCTCAAATCTTTTCCAGGTGGTGAATGATTCAAATAATTCTTCCTGTATTCTGAGCATTCCACTAGTTTCCGCCCCACATGGATTTTCCAGTGAGCATTTAGACTGGCTTGACAACGGAAGCTTTTCTTGCACACCAAACACTTATGGCATTTGTTGCTTTGACCAGATTCTTCTTCAAGCGGAGTCTCATGTGAAGAAAAGGCTTCATTCCCCTTCTGCCTGCCTTCCTTTTTTCTCCTCTGGGGTTTCCCCTCCTCAATGACCAAGCATTCTTGAAGCAGTTCGTCTTCAGAGCTGCCTTCTCTCACAACAGAAGCTAAAATAAAAGAAACCTGATTTTATTGGAAGCATGGAGCTACAAACTGTGCAGCAATATCAATTAACCATTAACTAAATGAACCACAATTAACCAGAAACCTTATCCCTGCAGAAAACCTTTGGCTCCATTCCCAGCACCAGGAGGCTATATAACTACAGTGGTGCCTTGTGTAACGATTACCTCGTTAAACGACAAAACTGCTTGACAATGAAGTTTTAATGGTAAAAATTTGCTTAACGATTGGTTCCCTGCTTTCGGAACCAATTTTTCGCTAAACAACAATTTTGAAACAGCTGATCGGCGGCTCTAAAATGGCCGCCTGCTGTTCAAAAAGGCTCCCTGTTTTCAGGATGGATTCCTCGCTTTACAGGCACTGAAAATGGCCGCCCTATGGAGGATCTTCGCTGGACGCTGAGGTATTTAGCCCATTGGAACGCATTGAACCGGTTTCAATGCAGAACCGATTTTTCGCTAAAGAACAATTTTGAAACAGCTGATCGGCGGCTCTAAAATGGCCGCCTGCTGTTCAAAAAGGCTCCCTGTTTTCAGGATGGATTCCTCGCTTTACAGGCACTGAAAATGGCCGCCCTATGGAGGATCTTCGCTGGACGCTGAGGTATTTAGCCCATTGGAACGCATTGAACCGGTTTCAATGCATTTCAATGGGCTTTTTTGTTTTGCTTGACGAGGATTTCGCTTAACAGCGATTTCAACAGAACGAATTATCCTTGTCAAGCGAGGCACTTCTGGCCCGGATCCAGCAGCGTCACCATGCTACTCATAAAGTGGTTTCATCAGTTCAGCTTTGTCAAAAAGCCTTTACGATTAACACATTTATTCAAATAGAACCTTTTGCGGTTGCAGGCCATTTCTTCAGACCCATGGACACTGCGGATTGTTAACCTTAAAAAGTACTACAACAGTACAGTACCTTAGTATTTTTGCTTTGTGTGGGTTTTTATTCTTGCTGAAAGACTTAACAGAGTGACTGCTGGTGGGAACAGTTTCAACAGAACGTAAAGAAAAGCTCACCCAGAGACACCACGTGGGCAAAATTCTCCACCATGACTTCCCAGTGCAGAGCCTTCTGGCCCGGATCCAGCAGCGCCCACTCCTCCTCGGAGAAATGCACAGCCACCTCCTCAAAGGCTACCAGGTCCTGAAGAAACAAGGAACGTCTTATTCATGAGCTAATTGCAATTGTTCAACTTTTCTAAAGAACAGTCCAGCAGGGAACACCAAAAAGTACAGGTTTCCTTACCATAGTCCAAGCTTTCCCTATGGTCTATTTTTGATAAAAGCAAATCCAATGGGAAAGTTTTCATCCATCCATCCATTCATCCATCCATCTCTCCCTTCCTCCCTCCCTCCCTCCTCCTTCCCCATAGGTCCTCTCATTCCACAAGATAAAGTATGTCTATTTTCAGAATCTCACCTCTCTACACAACTTCCCTACTTTCTCTGGACTTTGCACCCCTGTTCACCCTTTGTCGTTCCCTTATTAACCCTTGCCACCAGGCACTGCTTTCTCCTTAACACAGACTTACTTTACATACAGAAACGGCTTCAGGGAGAGGTTCTCTCACACAGATTGGGATCCCCAGGGAGGGAGAGGGCACCTCTGTCTGATCCGTGGCAGCCAGGATTTCTCACTCTTGAAGCACTTTAACACAACGGGATTTCTTCTCGGAAGGAAATAGTATTAATCAAGTTCTCTTTTGGTTTCAGTCAGCTACACACAACCATATGGTTTCTGTCAGAAGTGGGTCTGGCCAATTCCTGTATCCAGGGAAAGAAACACAATTAAATCCAGAAGTCCAGATGAAAATGAACAGATGGATTTGAGTCAGCGCATGGGGCTGGAAGAATTCGTGCAGAGGAAGATAAGGAGGGAAGAAGGAAGGAAGGGAGAGAGAAAGAAAGAAAGGGGGGGGGGAAGGAAGAATTTAGAATACCTAGATTCAATAATGCTGTGAAAAATTAAAGGCACGAATAGAAGACTATATATTTATTCATTTGTTTGTTTTATATGCCACATTTCTCCCAACAAGGGACCCAAAGTGGCTCACAACATTAAAAATCAAACAATTTAAAAGCACAGTAAGTTAAAAATTAAAAGATGAATTAAATGAGATATGATTTAAAATACAATTAAAAGATTAAAACATGAAAACCAAAAAAAAAGATTAAAGATTAAATATGATGTGAAGACTCAAGATCAAGGAAGGAAGTTCATTGAGTCTGTAATACATGGGCACAGCTTTTAAAAAATGATTAAAGGTGAAGCTAGATTAAAGATTAAATGTGATGTGAATTGACTCAGGATCAAGGAAGGAAGTTCACTGAGTCTGTAATACATGGGCACAGCTTTTAAGGACAGGATCTCTGGGAGATCACTTGTGAACAGATTCACTAGGGGCTAGAAGGGACTTGACACACAACAATGACAAGATTCATTGGCCAAGGATGGGGGCATGAAAACTAAAAACAATGAGCATACAAAGGCAGTTGACATCATTAAAAGGCAATACTCTATATAAAGCTAAAGACGGTAAGCACACAAACATTAGAAATGAACAAACAAATCTTGCGCTGAGAAATGGTAAAAAAAAAAAACTAAAAACCACTCCACCACAAGGCTCCTCTGAAGGGCCCACCAAGCCATGAAATGTGTGCAGAATCCTGAATTGGGGTATTCAAAACTGCTCACAGGGCATGGTCTGCTCATGTGAAGGCTTTCCAGGCCAGGAAGACCAAATACCTCGGTTCTCACAGCCTGCACTGAAGACCAAGGTAGATCTTTACAATACAGCCAAGGCTGGGCAGACAAAGAGTGTAAATGAGGATATAGCTGCTTCTGGGCCAAATGATTCTGGAAACCTGCATTGGGGTCTCTGGGCAGTGCGGGGGGGTGGGGGAAGAAACTTTATCACATACTGAACTAGTTCAAATAGCAATCCATAGTTCCAGGATAAGCAAAATGTTTTCTTCTCTTTTTTCCCCCAGTAAGGCAGTTGACAAAACTATTCCCATCAGGTGTCTCAGTTGTTGCTACACCTGCTCAAGATTGTACTGCCTTACACAGGCTGCGCATGAGCATTAGCATATCTGCAGATCACCAGATGGCACTTTGCTTTAGAATCCCTTTAGCCGAAGCCTTTGTGTTGCTTTTGTGACATCCTATTTTTTCCAGTAAAGAGCGCTTCACCATCCCAACAGGTAGACTTACGTTCAGGAATCACTTTGCTCCACTCCTCCGTCCACCAAGGCACTACGGATCGATGCCGTGGAATGAGAACAGCTTGAGAAGCAGCATCCCCAAAAGTTCCTTAGTTTAAAAAAAAATCAGAAAACTGTTCAAAATCCTTTAAATGCCCAAATGAACCAGAATCATCCAGACACTGTGGCTGGAGTAAGAACCCAATTAGCCTTTAGTACAATTCTAAGAGAAAGGTAAATTCACATCATGAGATGCAGTAAGACCGCCAGATCCACGGGGAATCGGTTCCAAGCACCCCTTCCCGCGGATACTGATTAACGCGGAAGTCTCGAAACCTCTACTTTGCCTAGTCTCTGGCTCCCTCGAGTGGCCAGTTTTGGTAAACGCACCATGGAAATACATATAAATAGCTTTTTTATGGGTCGGGTTATTTTCTATTTTCAACCAGCGGCTGAATGAATCAGCGGATATTGAACCCGCGGATAGGGAGGTCCCACAGAAGTTAAACCCCGTGGCTTTATCAAGAAGGCTGCGGAGGGAAATGATCGCTCTCCAAGGTGCTTCCTCGAACCACCGCCCATACACACAAAGGGCTGAGCGGCTCCACGGGTTCTTCTGGCAGCCGAGGGTTCCCTTCTCCCGGCTCTGCCCCCGTTCGCCCCCTTTCCCCCCCTCAATCCGGGACAAACCGCCCCCTTCGTCCCAGCGCTGCCCCTCCGTCTCCCCGCCCGGAGCTCACCCGCTTCCCGACCCCCCTCCCAATGAAGCACCTCTTAGCCCCCACCTCGGAACTCCCGGGAGGTGGCTCTGGCGGGAGGGGGGAAAAAGAAGCAGAGCGCCTTCCGGTAAGGAACAGGAAGTGGCTCGCCGAGCTCTTGGCTCGCCTTCCTTTGTTGACCCTCTAGGACTCACTAATCTGTGGCTTTAACCCTTTGGGTGGAAGGCCGAAGTTGGCAAGAAGAGGCACTTTGGAAAGTTAAAAGGCTTGAGGCCTCGTTGAATTTTAGGCAAACGAGGATCCTTTCTGGGAAACCTCTCTCTCTCTCTCTCTCTCGGACTACAATTCCCAGAATCCCCCAGGCAATCAAATGGGGGAATGGCTGGGGGGAGGTTCTGGGAGCTGTAATGACAGAGAGAGAGAGAAAGAGAGGTCTGCAGCTTTTTGAGCCGTACTAGGAGTCGCAGTCCAAAACCACAACTCCGGCACATCTCTAGTTTTCAGGTAACGCTTATTATCCTTGCACTCGTTCCCTGAGGCCGTTTTCAGGGTTAAAGTGAGAGAGAGGGAAAGAGCGTACGCTTCGCGTCCTAGAGAGGCCAAGCGGAAGGAGACCGCGCGAGGGTGCCACAGCCGTTTCTCGTCCCCCTCTCCCCCTGCTCCCTCGCCCCCAGTTCCTAACCGAGGGTGCTCTCCTTTGTCTTTTCCCAAGTGCGAGCAAGTGGTCTCCGCCCTGGATCGGGGCTCCGGCGGCTTTTGCGACCGAGAGGGGAGAGGAAAGAAGGCGGCTGGGAGGAAGGTAAGTCTGGAGAGAGTTGGAGGGCAAGTGGGTGGGAAGGCTCTCCCTTTCTATGAGCAATGGAGGAGATGCTCTCTGCCAGGGAGTGGAGGCAAGAAAAGGCAACCTGCTGGTTGGGGGCACGAAGCTCTTCAATTAGTGCCGAGTTTATTAGCATTAAATTTCAAGAGATCGAGCATTTACAGGATTAGCCTATCTCTGATTTTTATTCCCTTCCCACGCATCCCATTAAATAGGTGGGGAGGAAAGTGGAATCCAGAGTAGGGTAGTGTTGTTGTTATGTGCCAACAGGTCGCCCCTTATGAATGCGCGATGTCCAAAATGTGTTCACTTAGTTGTAGCTGCCTTTTAGCAGGTGTCTCTTTAATTTGTGATGCAGCTGCTGCTCCCTGGGGTGAAGGAACCTCCTCCCAGATTCTGGTTTCTCTTTGTGACTTTCATTCAGGGTGAAGAAGCTGTTCCTTTTTTAGAATAACTCACCTTTGCTTGTGTAACCCCTATGAGATATTGGTTCAGCCCAAAAGGGGTGGGACTAAGAAAGAGCAGGGCTGTGAGTAAGAGAGTTGAACCGGGAAAAGCAGGAGAGCTTAAGAGGCTGCTCTTGCCACTTGGACTGCCTATGTCCTTGCCAATTTGGTTTAATTCCTGTCCATCTGTGTTGTAGGGTTTAATCTGCATAGTGAATTCATTTATATGCAGTGGAATCGGTATTTGATTCTTGGGTTCTGAAGACTCTGATTCTTTTATATTATGGATACCCAACCCAGTTACGAAAGAAATCTTGGCTTTTTATCTGAACTTGAAATTCCAAAGGACTCTTGAGATTGTCAGCTCTACGCGGCTTCTGTGTTGGTGCTGTTGCCTGGAACTTGGGTGCAAAAATTGTAGCATGTTGTTGTTTTGATAATAGTTCATGTTGTTTGTTACATAGCTGAATTAGAAAAGCCTTGAGATTGTCAGCAATACGCAGCTTCTGTGTTGGTGCTGTTGCCTAGAACTTGGGTGCAAAAATTGTAGCATGTTGTTGTTTTGATAATAGTTCATGTTGTTTGTTACATAGCTGAATTAGAAAAGATTCCTCATTTTGTGAAACTGGGTTTACGGAGTTCATCAGTCAATATCCAATATCCAAATAGCTCCATAGAAGTTGAAAGTGCTACACTTGGGGAACACCATGCTGCTTCAAATAGTGTAATATAGCATGACTGTGGTATCCTTGAGGGATCGGTTCCAAGCCCCTCCCTCCATGGATGCTGGAAAACGGAGAAGTATTGAATGCTATACACCCTGTAAATATATTATCAATGGGAATTTCTGGGTTTTTCTTTAGTATTTCCAGTCTCTTAAGTGAATCAGCGGATACTGATTCTGCGGATAGGAGGTCCAGTCCAA